CGCTAACAGACTACCTATTGTTTAAAAGGCCCTCTGGTGGCGCAAGAAGACGGATTTTATAAAATAAAATGCAGTTGATACTGCATTTTTATGAATAAAAATTTGACAAACAATTTATCATTTTATGACGAGTAAAATTTTTTCGTCGCGTTCGCGGCTTTTAAGTAATGCGTAAACCTTCGAGGCGCGAGGCCCTTCGAACCGCGAGGCATAGGCGGTGGCCCACGTCATCCATGCCTTACGCCGCCCTTGGTCATAGAAATGATATAATTTGAATATAAATTATTTATAAATACGTATGTCAAGTTATATTTTTATTACTATGTAAAATATATTTAAGAGTTTACGACCACTGTGCTAAGTGAGACGTTGTTGAAACAAAAAAGTTATGCATTCCATCACGTACATAAACTGTCGTAATTCGTCAATTGCAAATCAGCAAATTCGTAAAATTTTTGTTTATTTTGAACAATCCGGATAATGGAGGTTCTACTGTATTTGAAAATGTTTCCTTTCCACTCAAAATTAAAATATGCATAAAGGTTTACTGCTTTGTAAAACGTCTTTTTTGAATTTGTGCCGTTGAAATAAATAAATAAATAAAATAAAATAAAAAAATCTGTCAGTTTTGTTTACACGTTTATTGGGCCGCATTGGAACTTGCCTTGGGTCGCATGCGGGCCGCGGGTTGGACACCCCTGATTTAAAACAACACACGAAAATGTTAAGAAAGGATCATGAAAAGAAAGAAAAAGAGATTGAAATGAAAATAAATACACTTGAGTTGAAAAAGCTAAAACTACATTAATATAATAGTTCTTGTGTTTTGTGAATTGTAATTAATTTTTCATTTTCTAATTATCTATATTTTGAAAAGAGAGAATTAATACTAAGAAGTTTCTCTGTATTTTGATTGTCCATTTTGTAAAAAAATTAAAAAGATTTTACAATAAATTAGATGCATTTGTTAGAGAAGCTATAATATAAATTTACATCTATCCCTCTTTATATACAATCTATTTTTACGTGATTTTGAAATAATGTGGTTGACAAAAGAAAACTAATTTTTTTTTTAACATGATCAATTTTTTTATGAGAGAAAAAATGCTTTATTTAAAAATTTTTAAATTTTAACTTTTTGTTACAATTATGTTGCTGTTTTTAAAAAAAAGCTACTCTTTTTGTTGAAAGATTGGTTTTAAAATTACATGTTTCTGAGTCAAGAGTTCATTTTAAGCACAGTACAGTACTATTTGTATATCAAAGAATACTGTTTGTTGATTTTATGCTACCTTGTATTTACTAGATTTACATACAAGTAATAATGATAAATGATGATAAGATAAAAAGCTCATGTTTTGTTTGTAAATTGCTTATTTTTTTCATTACATTGAAGTTGTGGATTCTATCAAGCATTTTTCTACAGGATGTATGTACTATATTTTGAAACACATCAGCTATGCAAAAAGAGGGATAGATGTACTCAATGTTCACAGTAAATAAAATGCTGTTTTATTATGTTGCTATTCCACACTGTAAGAAATGTGAGAGTCCAGGAATTTGGACAAAGTTGGTCAGGGATAATCAGGGAATTGAAAACAGAAATTTGAGTAGGAACCCTGTATACAATTTTGTTACTTTCCCGGCTGTTATGTATACATAACAAGGGAAAATATGGGAATTGTGTCAAATTTGACCCTCTGAGTTTTTTTGCAAATCTCTACATTTTGAGACCTCCTGAATCCAAAACAGCAAAAAAAATTCTATTTGTTGGCATCTATTTCACTTAATATTTCAGGATGGGTAAAGATTAAGAAATGAAATTTGGCATGGTGGCTTGTGAATGAGGGACATTGATGCTTTTAAATTTTGGGGGTGAAAGGTCAAGAGGGGAATTGTGTATTTCAAGAGGGATAGAACTTAACTTAATGAAGATTTTATTCGTTATTAACATTTACATTTTTGTATAAAACTCACCCTACCCTCAAAAGTTTTTTGCCATTTTATAGTAATTAAAAATATCTGATTTTTTTTTTATAACAACTTTTCATAACAGATGGCATTACACATAATTTTAATTTGTTGCTTATGAGTTTTTTTTATTTTAAAAAATATATTAACAGCCCGGAAAGTTACACAACTCTCATTGCTAGATTTTTTTATAAAGTGGTGAAGATAATTAGTTTGCTTTGACAATCTTTCCTGAAAGAATAATTTAAATTTGAAATTACACTATTAAATATTTTTTCTAGTACATGATAGAGAATCACTATTTCACAAAGAATATAAAAATATAATGGCTAAAGAAAAAGAATTGTCAGGAGTGCCGTTGGATAAACTGAAAATAGATGTAATAACAAAGACAGGAGATATAAAACGTGTTTCTGCTTTGGTAAGTCACTAACTATTAATAAATATACTAAACAGACATTATTTTTGTTTTTTTTTGTAAAAATATTTTATTTCTTGGGACTATACATATAGGATGAGTTAATTTCATTTGGTCCCTTCACACACTGTTGAGGTAATAACAATTTCACGGTGGAGCAAACTATTTTTGTAAAAGTATATATATATACAGTAGATCCCCCTATAAGACGGTAGATACATTCCGTTCTTTATGAATCAATTTTTTAGGAATCACGGTTTACGGACTACGGCTGTTTGAAAGGTTTTCTTCCATAAAATTAATCAATTCTAGACTAATTCGACTCAACATTTCCAAAATACGTATATTTTTTTTGGAAATAATTCGTATAAACTACGTTATAAACAAAAAATTGTAGGATTACTTACCGAGTGTGCACTGTTCGACTATGCCCGTTGCTAAAGCTTGTTTTTGTCATGGAACAGCGCATCAAATGGCGGCCGCGATTTCTGATATTATTTTTCTGCAAAAACTTCGTTGACCTTTGGAGACATCATTAATATAAATAATTTTTATGGCCATTGAATAAGAAATGTTTCTTTCACAAGAAACGTATAAAATTACAGTGCTATATTAGACTTACGGTACTTAATTTACATACTGTACAGACGATAGCTAGCCTAAACTCTCCGTAGCGCCACTAGACGGCAAAAAATATATATATAATTATAATAAAGTTACAATAAATTAAGTTAATATATAATTATATATACAGTACCTAATTTATATATAATTAATATATAATTATATGTACAGACGATACTAAACTCAATTTACCATCCTAAACGTCCGTAGCGTGGCGCTATGGACGGTGGGAAAGTAGTTCGGCTGCCCGATGATGTTTTATGTAATTATAGGAGTTTTTTTACCATTGTGTACGGATACCGCCGCAATTTTTTTTGCCGTCTTATAGGAATCGTAACTATAGGAAACAGTTTTATAGGGGGATCTACTGTATATATATACTTTTACAAAAATAGTTTGCTTTAATTTAGATTGTTGTAATATCATTTAATTCTACAAAAAAAAATAATTATGTATATATATAATTTTTTTGTAAAAGTAAATTTGTCTTGGCAATTTTTAAAGACAAAATGTTGTTTTTAATTAATTCAATGATTTGCACTCTATAAATTATTCTTGGTTGAAGCTATCTTCTTAGCACATGCAGTAGAGTTTCAGTAGGGAAGGGAAAAAATTTAATTTGGAAATAATTGTTGGAGAAATGTACTATAGTTTCCAGGAAAACTGCTAAACATTTTTACATGTTAGATAAATGAAACATAAACATAACAAAAAAAAGGCAATTCCTCCTTTCTATCTCTGAATCCCAAAAGTTATCAATTTTGGTAACATCAATTGTCAACATTAAGTTATTGTTTGTGAACCAAACCAATAAAACAATGTATAGTCTCCACAGAAAAAGAAAAACAATTTGGACTCATATTCAAACTTGATAGTATATTTTACTGTGGTCACTATCATTTTTTTTTTTAAATTATGCTATTATAAACAATATTTTATTCATTACTGTGCATTTAAAATTTATATGAAAAGAATTATGGTCTAGTCATCTTGCCAGCAATACAGAATTGTAGCAATTGATATCAGGATTATAGTCATGACAATAGTTTTCTCTTAGCTTTTGAAATTTGATTTCAAACTGGTTGATTATTGGAATTTAAGAATGCATTTGTAGTTTGCTCAAGATGAACATCTTGATGTGAATTAGTTAATGTTATGGCAGATGGATACATGTAAATTTTAGAATAAAGTGATTTTGTTTGACAGCCTGCAGAGACTAGTAGAGTAAATCCTTTAACTTTGTGTACTTAATTTATTTTCTAGTATTGTTTTATACATCATATCTTTTGTGTTACTTGGATCCAGGTATATAAGTAAGTTGTATTTGTATGTATATATTTTTCTTTAATGCTATGTTGTTGAAACTTCAATAAAAATACAATTCAGGTCCAACACCAAACTAAATACCAAATGCTGAAAACAAATGTTTTCTGTATTTGGTGTTTAGTTTGTCTGATGATGCCCATTCAAACACATGTGAAAATGTATGCAATTATTATAAAAATTTGCTGGTTTATAGGTTTAGTATTTTTAATTTATAGCTTGTTTACACGACTGATATTTTTTCAAATGAGCTATAGTTCATTTTTGCTACATATGCAGTGAATCTTTTTTTTGCACATATACAGTTCCAGTGATATATATCACTCCATTCAATTACAGATGAGCATACAAAATTCAGATGGTTTAAATATGTCTAAGTTTACATTCTTTTTTTAACTCATCCTCAAATATCTTGTAAACAGTTGTTTATTCAGAAATAACTTTAATGATTGATTAAATAGCATAAAAAGTTATAAAATTTTATTGAGCTTGTAATTGATTTGATTGTGCACCTTTTGCTTGAAACATTATTCTAATACATGTTTTATGATGTCATAATATTCAAATTTCTTGTGTCACCTGTTGTTGCATGTTTATTCTCTCCTACCTAAAAACTGTAATGTAATAAATGTTTGTATGATTGCTTGAAAAGAGAAGCCATGTATGCATTTCATCTTACAAATTTTAGTGTGTATTATTGATGACTTCAACATGCTTAATGCATAATCTTAGAAAATTTACAAAAAATCTCACATTCGTTTTTATATATATAGATTTATGTCTGTGTGTCCTTCATGCATTACTACACTGTTTATTCGATTGCCATGAAACTTTGGGAAGTTGTTTAATATACTCCCGCAAAGGTTTCTGGCATAGTATATTTATCCTATGATAAATGGTGCACATGTACACGAGCATTTCAGCACAGTTAGGAGTTGAAATTTGCTACACACTTAGGGTACGTCACAAGAATGCACACTAACAAAGGATTTTTTGAAATCCCCCAGCAGGGAAAGGAACAGGATTAAGGCTTCAAAAATGGAAGTGTTAAGAGAAAGCAATGTGCAAGATTTACAGGTGCAGATGTGGTTTTTTGCATTAAATCGAACATAATTTTAGACCCATCTAAAAATTTTCTAATTGGTCTGGGAAACAGGGGAACCTAATTCTTGCATTCTGTGATAACGAGTAAGATTGGCTGTAATGTAATAATCTTTGCTATCGTTACTTTTTGCCCAAGCAATGCCGGGCTTATCTGCTAGTAGACAATACTTTCAAAAGTGTCTTCTCATTTGAGCCCTTTCATACTTTGAACATAAATTCTCTTGATGAATAATGCAATGAAAATTTAGCATTGAAGTATTACCGACTTTGGAGGCCTCATTTTCAATCAATTTTACTAAACCCCTGTGTTTCCCAATCATTGCTGGAGCACCATCCATTGCTAAGACCAATAAGTTGTTAAGTTGTAACGAAAAGCGATTCAATGTCGATGTAACTGCCTCTAACAAATCTCGTGACTTAGTAGTGTCCTTAAGTGGATACAATGCTGCTAATTCTTCTGTCTTTTTAAAATGGATATCAACACCCCTGATAAAAAATTGCCAATTGGGCAGTATCTGCTATATCTGTGTCTTCATCCAATGCTAGAGCATAAAATATGAACTCTGATGCTCGACTTTGGAAAGCATATTGAAGATAATTTGAAATGTCCACACGCCTAATAGTCTGACGAGACAGACTTATTTTTGAGAAATCCTTCTTTTCTGGACACAGAAAAGGATTTCTTCTCTCCAAATATTCCTTAACCATTTCACCATCTGAATATGGCTTAGATTTTTTGCTAGTATCATGGCTACTGCATAACTAGCTTTTACGTAGCATATTGACTCTGAACCCGCTCTAGTAAATATCTTTTGTTGTACAGAAAGTTTTTTTAAAATCATTTACTTGGTCTCATCGAAATTGCCCTTTGTACTTATCAAACTTATTTGCATGCTTAGTCTCGTAGTGCCATTTGATGTTATACTCTTTCAAACCAGAAACAGATTTGTTGCATATCAAGCATATGGGCTTTGTTTTAATTTTCACGAAAAAATAGTTTATAGTCTGCCTATCTTGAAAACTTCTTAATTTTTCTGTGATTCTTCTCATCTTTGGTCCAATGTCTTTACTAGTTGATGCCATGTTAGGTCTTCGTTTTGAACTGAAAACATTTCTGTCCGTTGTGTGTTGCCCCGAGTTGAATTTTTGTCAGTGCCTAAAGAAAATTTCCTGTTTTTAAATTTAAATTACATAAATAAAACATTTCAGGGTTTACTTACTTATAGAATCGATATGGTAGACAGGCTACTTGGTTAAAGTAGTTTGAACTGTTGTTATAAATATGTTAAATATGTATTTTAACGTTGATCGCAAAATCTCTCCAGATGCAGTGTCAATAATAACACAAAACTACAGAATAACACAGAACTTTGTCAAGCTGGACTGAAAGTAGTTACGAGTATGAGCCTGATAGCATTGTGAGCTTCCCGAAAACATCGAAGTCCACAGAACGTATATAGCTGAAGTTGAAGTCTCATATTAAATTTTATCAACACCTAGCATTGGACAAAAAACTAAGTAACCTTGAGTGTCAAATAGCGGGATATTTGAAATAACTAAAATCTATGAATTTTTCCAAAAATGAGAGATATTTCAAATTTCTCTTTTCTATAATTTAAAAACACATGATACGAATAACTCATGACGTAATGTTCTTTTGGTGATATGTACAATAAAGTTAACATTTATATTCATTTCATCTAGCTCCGCGGGCCTCGTTTTGGCCACTCCTGTACTATAGTATTTGTATGATAATCAAGCATCGACCAAAAAAAAAAAACTTTAAAATGCAGCTTTTTATTAACTAATTGAATGTTTTTGGCTATTTGAATGACTATCTTCAGGAATAAAAATCAAAATCATTCAATTTTTATTTGTGAAGGTCATTCAAATGGCTGAAACGTTTGATTAACTAAGATCAAAATAAACTTTAGCACAGGAAAATTATTTTAAAATCATTGTATAAAAGAAATGATAAGAAGTTGAGGGGAAAAAATAAGTTTCCTTATGATGATAGAAGAATAAGTAAGGTTTTTGTTTTGTTAATGTTTTCATATTTAATTTTAAATCTGTTTTATATAATTAGTCTTTTTACAAACAATGAAATAACCAGTATTTTTTGCTATTTTAAACAATTTTTTTTTTCTGAAACTGTGCTTTAGTATTTATTGACTGTTGAACACAAGATTGTGTTATTAATTAAACACTTGGCTTTTTTCCATCTTTATTCAGTTCAACTGAATAAAGATGGAACAACAGTCAATAAACAATTTTTATTTTAAGATGATAATTTTATCATCTAACAAGAGTTTCTGCAGTTTTTTATAATTAAAATTGAACAACTGCATAAATTTTCAGAAAATGTTTTATTCTTTAAAATAATTACCTTCATAACTCAACTCTGAACAGGATTCAGTTTGTAAATGCTATTTTTATAGAAGTAAAAAATCTAGCAACTCCACTTCAATCTCTGTTTTATTGTGGAATTGTGTTTTACATGTGATTGCCACTTTTCTTGTCTGTGCCATGAAAAGATGATAATCACTTGGAGAAATGTCAGAAGAATATAGACGATTAGGGAGTATCTCCCATTCTAAAGCCTAAATATTCTTACTAGTAAGTTTTGCAGTATGAGGTCTTGTTTTGTAACAATAGCACTTTCTTCTGATTAACTAGCCTTGGCTGTTTCTGAGTAATTCATCTTGTACAGTCTAGTTGCGTCATATAGATCTCAGCCATAGTTGTTTGCCTATATATTTCAAACATTGGGTTTGTATAAATATATCACTCATAAAACCAACACCAGACCATAACATATGTGCTTGTGTTGGTTTTATGAGTGATATGGTTGTTTGCCTATGGCAAGAAACTCAATGGACAATGCCAGCTTCAATACATGATACACAAAACAGTTTTTTGGGGATGAAGCAGTATCTTTCATGTGTGCAGTGCTGGATCATTTGGTGACCACCATTGATTTCTTCCTGTTAGAATATGTGATCTATTTTTTTTTTTTTCAAGAGATCAAGCAATCCAAAAATGGCTTCCTTTTTTTTTGTGACATGAAAGAAGTGAAAAACAAATTGATAGTCTTTGAAGTTCATTGACATCTGATAATGCATGTGGGACCCATTTGCTTAGCTTTTATGATTTTCCCAGTTGATGCAAGTGTAAACAAATTGTTTTATCACTTGTGTTAAACAATTTTGAAATTTCTTGCTATCTTAACCTAGAATTATTTTCAACAGCAGCACATAGGCCCTCCATTATTGATAATGAAGAATTATCTGAACATGGTGCATCTTCAAGTGATTAATCATTAGAAGCAAATTTTTAAACTATTTCTGTACAATATGTTGATGCTAAATCTTTTCCAAATGCTACGCATATCTTTACAGACTTAAAAACTCACTTTTCATGAAATATCAGGTAACCAATAAGTTATTATTGGTTACCTGATATTTCATAAAAATAAATAGATAAAAACTTGCTTTGTGTTACTTTTTGATGAAATCATTTTTAAACCCAATATTAATTAATATGTAATACTTTATAATTTTTATCTATTGTAGTAGATAATTTAACTAGATTAATAATTATACAAAAATTGATTAGTTTATGTATATTATAATAAATCTATATCTTTGTATATAATATGAAAATTAATGTATAAAATATTAAATGATTTAAATTAAATAAAAAATTAGTTACTAATTCAGATTATTTTAGCATATAGGCTTTACAGAAGAAAGGCAGTTCATCTGTTACAGACAGCCACCAAACTATTACAGCTCCTTAAGTAATGAAGCAGATACTATAGATTCAGTAAAAATTAAAGCCAGAATTGAAGAATGGCTTGAACGAATGGAGTTTCTTGAAGAAGATTTGCATTGGTTGCTTCATTTACCAGCTCACAGGTGAAGTATATATTTCTGAATGTGTGTTTGTTGTCTGCTAAAGAATTTAAACAAGAACTGTCCAGGAGGCAAAAATGGAGTCTAATAGAAGTGATTTTTATGATGAATCTAACAATGTGATTTCAAATTATCGAAAGATTACTTCAGCTTAGTTATTAACTAAAATGCATCTACATACAATCCATGAGGGGACTGTTTTCTCTTTGATCTGGATGCACTGTGATGTTTGAGCTTTAGGGACATCAGGGACTAAGAATTTCTTTGTTTTCTTTTTTCTTTTTCTCTTTTTCAAAATAGGAATTAAAATTGCTATTCAGTGTTCAATGTTTCTATGATAATCACACTATTAAATACTGTAAATCCTCACTTCATTGCTTGCTTAAACATCCATTGACAATTAAATAAAGCATTTTTCTTTTAGTATTATTATATTTAAGGGCTAGTTTCCACTGTACAATTTCATTCAACAAAACAGATTCGTACAGATTTGTTGCCTAGCAACAATCTGTTTATGAATGTTGAAATCATGCTTACAGATAAACATCACCAAAGAATAGTCAATGAGAAAATTTCGAATGAGATTTAAATTCAAAAGTTATGGTATCTTATGAAAACTGTATTGAACAGGTGGGAAAAATCCATTTTCATACGATTGGTCTTGGAGAGAATAGCATGACAAAATTAAAAATATATGGACAAAAGTTTCTGAAGAATTAGAGATTGTTGGTAATTTTAATCTTATCTCTATTGAACCAAATACTTACAATGGAAAATATAGTATGTCCCAAAAATAATGTAGGATTTAAATTTTAAAAACAACATATTATTTCTTTAATGGCAAAGTTGTTACATCATTTTAAAAGGTAAACGTTGCTATTAAATGTGGAACAGAATATCTAGTTGGCAGTCAGTGTTAAAAAGCCATTGTACATGAAAAAAGCCAAAGAATGGTTTACAACTAAAAAATAAAGCTCCGGTGAGTTTCCAGGTCAATCCAAGACTTGTTCCCAATTGAAAATATTTTGTCCATTTGTAAAAAGTGCTGCAAGAATCTAACCAACTAATAAACAAGATTTAAAAGAAAAACATACAAAAATTTGGTCTGAAATTACTCTTGAACAACGTATGCAAAAAATAATAAAATCTAATTTATAAAAAAGATGTAACTAACTATAAGAATAAAATATTCTAAATTTTTTGAACATTGTTCACTTATGTAAAAAGTTATGACTCTTACACTTTATTTAGAAATTAATTTTTTAGATGAAAATATAGAGATAAGACCAGGCTAAATATCCACTTATTTGGTTTTTTCATAATTTATTTTGCCTAGTTATTGTCATTTAAGGGTTGGCACATTAAAGGAATTAAATTATTCTAAGCAATTTGAACTGACAGTACTATTAACAAGATTAATTATATTTTACTTTCAGATTTTGGTCTCAAATTATATATGATGAAAGTCTTCAGAAATGTTTAGAATCTTATCTGTGTTATGCTCCCAGGTAAATTTTTGTTTTACAAATATTTCTTTCTTTCGAATTTATTTTGCAAAATATCTGATAGATGTAAGAAATGAATTGTTTTAGATAATATAAGATTTTTCTTTGTAGATATCATGATGTTTCTGATTCTTTGGTTACAGAAGAAATGAAAACTGCTCTTCAGAGGATTCACAGACTAGTTTTCATGGTGTTTTTAAGATTGTCAACGTATAAAGAATCAAAGGTTAATTTGTATTTTATTTTTTGTTTTTTAGACTTAAATTTAAATTTTTTTTTCTTATTAGTTTATTTTTATAAAATTGTTCAAAAGCAGTCAATTCTAAATAAGTTATGAAACTTATTACAAAAAGTCTTTTTGAATTTCAAATTAAATAGTTGTAAGACTTACACTACACCACAATAATACTTATCAAATACAGATTACCATTTTGCAATTAAAAAAATATCAAAAATACTTTCAACATTTAATGAATACAATCAAAACATTAGATACATTGATGAACCAAGACTACTTACCATAAAATACAGAAACATCAAAATCAGAACATTATAAGCTTTTAAATTTAATTCATTCCAAAAATTCAATTATATTGAATAGCATCTTAAGTACTTTTTCAGTAACATTATATTTCATTCAAACAAACGTTTTTGACTCTTTTCATAAGCCTGCATCAGATTTAATGTGTAAACTAGAAGATTCAAATGAAAGTTTTAATTAACATTCTTACAGCATTTTAAATAAAATATAGTGTTGATGGAAAAATATTTAAAGTATTGTTCAACCTAAATTAGTTTCAGTTTTGGTAAGTGTTTTTAACTCAATTGTAATGTCTGTTAAGTTATGGTTTTCCAATAAAATAAATTTTGAATATTTTGTAGAAGTTGGAGAGTAGTCTTAATCAGAAATAGTGTTTTCACTCATTAAAAGTGAGATTTTAATTTTAACTGATTTATTATTATGAATTTCTTTCTGTTCTGTTCTGTTCTCCTATTCAGACTAGTGTTAATATAATCTAGCACTGCTCCTAGTCAGAGTAGTGCTAGATTATAAAAAAAATGCCAGATTAACAGGCATTATTATATATTTGTGAAATTTAATGTTACATGCTATCTGAACCTAGCAGACATTGCTGTATATTTTATACTAGTATACACTAATATATGCTTCCAGTTTGTTTTGTGCATTCTGTTTAATTAGTTTGAAGATGATACATTGCACTGACTATATTCTGTAGAGATTGATTGAAAAACCTTCAAATGTATTAATGAACACATTATTGTGCAAAATCAATATTTAAAATGATTTGTATATATATATATAATAATTTTATGGGCATATTCTGGTACATGATTTACAAAAGCTACACAAGCTAGAGTATGAGAAACCTATTTTTAGATGTACTGTTTTCATTGACCTGTGGAAAAGAAAATAAGTCATGCACATTTCTGAACACAAAACATGTACTAGATCGAACAAAACAATATTTGTTTAGCATAGTACAATGTAGATTCCATGAAATTTGCTGCATTACACTGAATAGAAGTTTGAGGTCCAAACTACTCTTGAAATGTAACATTGATGGATTTGCTTTATCTATTAGAACAGTTGGGTTGTGAATGTCTTTTGCCTGTACAAGATGTGCTCACCAAAGTTGTTCTTGGATCCTTTCAAACATGTCTGTAATATATTACTAGTAGCTCTGTGCTTTCTTTGTATAGGAATTGTTTAGCACAATGTGGAAATTCATCACTTGAGATACGTTGTAACATGATTTTTTCAAAAAATTTTCTGCCTTTTGATAGGAGCATCTTACGGATTTATTAACTTCATTGTCCCCACCTTTTTTTACAACAATTTTTAAGTGAAATATTGCAAATTTAAAAATTACTATAAAAACCAGAAAATGGTGTTTCAGATTATCGCGATGCACAGCTGACTGGTTAAAAGACCTTCTGGAAGGCATCCCCCTAGGCAGATCGCCCAAGTGTTGCATTGCCATAACTTAACAACAACTTAGGCTTAGAAACTTCCAACATTTAGGAGGCACCAAGACACTATGTAATTGTTAAATAAGTAATAGAACATAGAAATGTAAAACAATGATCATTTAGAAATTTCTTGTTAAAATTTTAAAAAAGGTGTAATTTGGCTGCTAGCCTTATGTATGAACATAAATACATAGAAAGATCTGAGTTTAAAAATGTGCAATGTGTAAAATACATCTAGTTGCAATCTATTTTATGGTGGGCTTTTTGGAGAATTTTTTTGACTAAAACTGTTTAGAGTATTTAAAGGGGGATTAAGGGATAAAAATACTATTTACTGTTCCATTCTATTCTTGTTTATTAGGTGGAAGTAGTGAATGGTGTTTTTAAAATTAAAGTTGTATTATTAAATATTTCTTCATTTTGTGCATGCATGTTGCATGTCATTGTTTTTTTTTATTTTATCATATTTAATGTTTGAAAGGTCTTCACTTATCTAAAACCATATGTGAGATGCTAACACTTATGGCAAAACAGGTTTTGAATAAATGTATTAATTTATCAGTTATATAAATTCTATTCTACTGAATGAGAAATATCAATTTAAATTTATTTTAAGTCTGTTGTGAATATTTATTGATAAGTTATTTTATATCTGAAATTTGATGAGTGAGGAGCAATGCTTCCCATCCATCCTTCTCTTCAACCATGACATATATATGAACTGTTATCTGCACTAACAATTCTTGTGTTAGCATCTCTGGTTATATAAACTTACTATAAATATTTATTATATACTTTCCTTTATCTTTTTGAATATAAGTTTTATATATGATACAATGTAAATGTCACAAACTTTTTTATATTTATATTATTATTGTAATTATATATAAAGTTTAAAAAGCATGATTAAAATTGAAAAAATTTACTTGCATTTGTAATAAATTTTGTGTGCATTTTTACTATATGATCAGGATAAATTATAAATAATAGAAAATTTAATTAAAATAATTTCTTTTGTTAATTTCTTTATATTTGGTTTGCATGAATAAAAATCAAAATATTTAAATATTTTTATAAATGTTATTCCTTCTTAGTATATAAAATATATTTGTTTTTTCAGTCTGTCCATTTTACACCTCAAGCATTTGCAGATATTATTTATGAGAATTTCTTATTTGATATACCTAAAATTATGGATTTGTGTGTATTATATGGAAGAGGAAACAGAAATTTACTACAAAAAATGATCAAAAATATTTTTGAATGGCAACCAAAATATTTAGATGATCTAGCAGCTGCTATTCCTACTATTCTTGAAGTAAGTGTGTGTATATGTGTTTTTATATGTAGTGTTGTTTTTTTTTCTTAATTGCAAAAAGAATTAATAAATACCTATTTATCTTTAGGTATTTGATACAATAGAAAACAAATTGGGTTTAGATTATATAACAGAACTTGAAAATAATAATGAACCAAAGAAACTTGATGAAGCACTTACTCCTGTTAGCACATTTACTTGGAACAAACTGAAAGACCTTATATTTTATCTTGTAGATACAAGTGCTACTCTAAATGCCTTTCTAGATATATATCCACAAGCTGCTGAATCTTTCCATAAACAAGGAACTGCAGTCAGGTTAGAATCAATTTTTAGTTTTTAATTTTTAAATAATAATATATTTTTCAAAGATGTTAATCTACAATTTCAGGATATCTAATTTTTATGAAATTATTTTCTTACCCCTTACAACTGAATTAAAGAATAGAAGTAAAGATGAACAACTAAAAGAGTATAAAAGTTTATTCAATAAATGTAAATATAAGAAATAGAAATACATATATATATACTAATTTTTTTTTCTTTTGTTTTATACTTTAGCTTAATAGCTGAATTAACCAAAAGAATTTATCTTGCGAAAACATGCTTAATAAAATCTTTCAGGGAAATAATATTTTATTGTTGTCTTCAACCAATTTTAGACAGGTAATAATTTTAAATCTTAATTTCTTTCCGTGACTCTTAATTGATTACTTTTGTTTGTAGACAGGTGACAAATGCTGAAGTATTCTTACAAATCATGAGCATTTGTGTTTCAGATAAATGGTATGTGCAATTTTTAAAATTTTAAATTTTTATAGAATAAAGTATTGAACTAGTTTTAATCTTCTCTAGCTTTATCTCTGATTACCAAGAAGTCTTTCCATTTGAAGAGGATATTGAATTGTTATCTCAGGCATCAGTGACACTGTATCCTTACTTCACCAGCTCTGTTATATCTATAACAAGAAAATTATGGCAATTAATCAAAAAATGACTCCCCAGATTTATAATTTTTCTGGACCTTTTTAAAATGTTAAGAAATGCAAAAACTTTGTGGGGAGGGTTTGTATGTTTGAATGTTAGTGTGTGCATATGGCATGATTTTACTCACCCTCTGAAACTTAATAACTTGTATTGTTTGTTGAAAATTTCTGAAATTTTACATGGAGTTTTGTATTAAGGTGATTGATACTATTAAATTTGATGGTTAAAGGTCAAATGGGGTGGGGAGATAAAAGGGGATTGTGTGTCATATCTCAAGTAGGATCAGAGTTATGACTATTTCTCATTACTAGCCCATTTACATTTATTTTTTTTTATAAAACCCATCCCTATCCTCAAAATTAAGCTTTTTGCCATTTTATAATAATTAAAAATATGACATTTTATTATTAAAAAGTTTTTATGTTTTAAATGTTGCCAGGAAAGTTAAGCGACTTGTTGCTGGATTTTTTAAGTAATTGAATCAAAATCATGTTTTTATTTTGAAAATCAAGATTGTTGTGATTTTGTAAGGTATATATTAAAAGCCATTCTAATGAACTTGCTTTCTATTCTATTAAGAAGTATAGTTAGTTCTGTGTTTGTGTTTATTTCACTTTTACTTGCTAAATAGCTTCTTATGTGCTGGATTCATGCTATTTTACATTTTGAACTGTTAGGCAGGGGCATGGTTCTTTCAAAATAATTTGTGAAATTTAATTTTTATCTGTTTTCTCTTTATAGTTTAAATCTTTTTATATAATGTTTTATGTATTGTAACATTACTTTTTTTATCCAAATTACTAACTTTCCTATCTTTAAGAGATTATTATTATTATGTTGGGTTTAGTGGTTATACTCAGTTGATACCGGTGGCTGTGTACTATGCCAGACCAGAGTCAAGGCATAGCAACCAAAACAAAAATTAAATAAGTGTGTCAGTGTCTGTATTCAGGAATTTCCTAACAATGTGATATGTATTCAATATAGTGGCCTTCTGTAATATGATGTATATATTTCTATTCAATTGTAATGTTCCCAGGCTTTTGTGTAGTGTGTGTGGTATCACACCTGTACAGGAGAAAACGAGTACAATAAGCACCCTATCTATCCCCTCCACAGATGCCTTATTTCCTGGGCGAGTTCTGTGTACTTGCTAATTTTTTCAGTGCATGTGTTTTGTACATTGAGTGTTTGGAATGGCTATGTCTATAATGTACAGTGGTGCCTCGTATAACGTACTTAATCCGTTCCAGGTGCACGTCCGTTAAGTGAAAAGTACGTTATACGAAACGCATTTTTGCATAGAAATACATGTTAAAAGATATAATTCGTTCCGCAGCATAAAATAACCATACTGTACCATAACAAAAAAATGAAAATGGAGCAGTCACCAATTATGCCGGGTAGTCAGATGTTGTGAGGAGGAGGTGGAGGAACACTTTCTTCACACATTCATACAGATACAGACTTTTTACACATTGCAGCGGGTCTTTTTTTTATTGTTTTTTAATCGGATTCAGATTCAGGAGAGGCTACCGGAGCTTGCAGGATCAACTCCTCTTGTTCCATCTTTTTGTTTTTTCGCTGCTGGCTTCTTGAAAAACATGTCCAAGATGGTCTGTTTCTCTCTTCTTTAACACATGTCGGAAATGACGAGCAAGGGTGTCATTGTAGAGATCATTGATACTGTTGGCCTCAGCTCTGTTTGGATAATGAGTGTTGGTAAACTCTTGAACCTCTCCCCATTCGACAAGGAAGTTTTTGTCAACTTTCACTCCTTCTGATGATTTCTTGCATTGTTTCAATTGAAATCACTTTTCTGTTTTTTT